TATCCGGGTTTCTCTTATATCCGGGTTACACAGTACTACTTATTTTGTTCTTTTCGTTATTTATGATTTATAAGTATTTTCATATATTTGAAAGTTAACTTTCCTCTTGTTAACACTTTGCAAAAAAAAAAAATTACTTTGTTCTTTTATTTGTCGATATTTTCATATATTTGAAAGTTAACTTTCTTCCTCTTAAAAAATTACTTTGTTATTCTTTTATTTGTCGATATTTTAAGTAAAACTACACTTATCAAAAAAAAAATCGCTTTACGGAAGCACGTACTGATTTCTGCAAGGAATTTCTGTAAAGGAAGTAAATAGGCCCAAATTTTATAACTCCGCCGCAAAGTGTGCCGCAGTGAATTACTTCAAAATAAGCCGATAATGGTTGACGAAAGACCGACAAGAAGTCTGATTTTTTTTGTCGATAACTCCAAAATAGTAAGGTTTCTTCATAATTTAATTCGAGTTCAGCATGTACATTTGCACGGTATTATGACGATTTGGGAAAAATTTTAAGGCATATTAGCGCACAGGTATCAAAACCAATATTTACCATTTCAGTAATTCCTTGATTTCTGGCATTTTTTAAAAACAATGAAAAAGTTTATTCATTCATGTTTCGTTTAATTTCAGAAATAACGCGTCTGTTTTTGGTACCAACCTTTAATACCAACGTTTTTTTTTAACCCAATAAAATATGTTTTTGGTAGGTTTTAGACTAAAACGTACCAAAAACTGAAAAACATATCTGTAATTTTAAAGAACTAAAACTTTTAATTCTTTAAAATTACAGATATTTGAATAAATAAATGCAGACGCAAATCAGGTCCAGTTTAGCAGTAAATGTAGATTTTAAAAGTGAATATTGTCATGTCGAACAAAAAATCATGCTCAAAAACTGAAAATCCACTCTAATTTTTAAAATATCGATCGGATTCAATGTAAAACTTACATTTCGTTCCTTGATGAAAGTGAAGTCTCGGAGAAAGAAAACACAGAGCAGAACAAACAAAATTCATAGAAAAAAAAAGTAAATAATTTTAATTTAAGCGAATCTCGTCTAAAAATCGAAGTTTTTGGATCAGAATGAAAAAGGGAAATAAAGGAACAGAGAGCTAGTGAAAATAGAATGTTTTTGAAGAGGAAACAAGCAGAAAAAAATATCATGGCTCTTTTTACTCGTAAGCAGCGCAAAGTTCTCCTAACACAGAAAGCACGGACACTGTATTTAACAAGAAAGAGGATGGATTATATTTTCACAAAATATCCTTTTTATGTCAAAATTTCTTACAAGAGTCACAACTGTCAGAAAAAAAAAGTGATACAGTAACAGTTAAAAAATTCTTACCTCTACTGCAGGTATGAAGGATTAAAAATGTTCCACTGAGAGACTGCTGCTATTTTTGTAAAAGAAAACATTCTTTGCAAACATTAATATTCATTTCACGTGTGTTATTCAGGTTATTGGAGCATTACATAGGTATATAGTTAATATAAGTAGCAGCTGACCCCCTTAAAAACCAAAATGTTAAATTTCAAATTACAATGTTGGGGCTTAATTATTCATTACCGAGCGAGATCTTCATTAAGAAAATGTTGCCTTAAGTCGGGTTGAATTCCTTTTGACATAAAAGGAGAAAAATTAAATTAATAAAAGAAAAGTGTCTGAAGTTATGTGAAAGGTTTCGTTTCTATTCAGCGGTGAAGTCTCGGCAGTGTGAAATTACTCGCCCATTATTGGCTTTTAACCAATCACATGGCAAAAAAGAATTTACCTTCAACAATCCCAGAAAGCTAAGTATTTCAAAGTATTTCTCTTCGTCTACTTTTGAAAGTATGCAACTGTTCTGTTCTGTGTACAACAGACCTACTAGCACCCATCTCCCTTTATCGGCCCCTTTGCTTGGGGGCTTCTTTCTGACCCTACACCGGTTGAAGGTTCCCGGTGCTCAGCCTCTATCTAGTTTAGCTGCCCCCAGCACGGCCACATGGCATGCCCTCAGCTTGGCCGCATGCCATAGTTTTCATCCTTTAAATATCTCGTCATTCTTGGACATCTCCGGTAAGAACTATCGCCTTTCTTCCTTCCTATTATGGAATTATTTAATGCAAGCATTATTTTTTAGTATCATTTCCTTCCTTAAACGAACTTTGTTTACCTTCTCACCACGTGCGGAACCGCCATCTTTCCTCTCGGAACTTGACTGTTACTCAGCATAATTTGTATTCTTTTTCTTCTATGAGTATTTCTTATGTTCAAATGCTTCTATTCTGTAAGCTTATCGTACCTACAACTACTTAAGGTCTTAGTAAATATTCACCTTCATTTTGTATTTCTGTATTTCTGAAGAAACGTGTTTTTATTTTCTTTCAGTTTTACCTTTGTCGACTGTCAATAAACCTGTGTCTAAAACATACCATGTCTCAGAGTCTTGATTGTCGATGAGAGTTTATGCTAACTGTCTCTAGGGTTGTGTACATTTCAACGAAATACACGCATCCCGGAGACAGTAAAACGGAGGCTCCCCTAATGGTCGGATATTTCGTGGTCTACACCAACCGTCGGAACTACGGACGCAACACCAACAACAGTAGTGTCACACAGTTCGCTTGAAAAAAACTATCCTCAGTATAACGAAGCTATTCTTTCGGCCTCTCTTCTACCACCAATCATCCTTTTTTCTCAACAATGGCAGACAACGTGTCAAATCGGTCAAGGACTCATGCCTCCCGCTACTCTCGGTCTTCCAGCAGATCGTCTACGGCGGCTGCTGCTGCTATCGCCCAAGCTAGGGCTGAAGCAGCCAAAACACGTTTAGCTTTCATCGACAAGGAGCTAAAAATAAGGATGGAGTTGGAGAAACTACAGCTTGAAAAGGAGACGGCTGCTGCCGTAGCTGAAGCAGAAGTTCTGAGGGAAGCTGCCGACGAGCTAAAAGAACGGTCCAGCTGCAACCACTCAAAACTCGACTGCACTCCCGCTGACCCTAGCACACGGGTCCGAGAATATAGCCGACCAAGCAAGCCAACCGAAACAAGAGATGACTGGACCCCAACCACCTCTTAATGAACAAATCGTTCAGGGATACCAGTATGGTCGGTTTGAACGCGGAGACCGACTTCTCCCTCATAGGCCAGGGAGCCCAGACAGACCTACCCAAACAACCCCACCTATTATCAGCTATCACTCCCCTAACTCACGTGTCGAAGACACTGAACCTCCTAACGACCGGTACCCCACCAACACCAGGAACGCCTCCCAGTCTCAATATACCTCAGACCTTGAGGTACTTCACCCGGCAGGAACTCATCACCACTGGACTGCCACCTTTTTAACGATAGACCTGAGGACTACAGAGCATGGAAGGGTCTTTCCAGAGTGCCATCAAACACCTCGGTCTCACATACAGCGAGGAAAATGGACCTCCTCGTAAAATGGCTTGGTAAAAGAGTCAGGGGAACATGCAAGGAGGCTAAGGTCAGCCCACCTGAACCACCCAGAAAGAGGGCTCATGAGAATATGGGCCCGACTCGAGGAGTGTTACGGGGCTCCCTGAAATGATAGAGGATGCTCTCTTCAAACGAGTAGATGACTTCCCCAGACTGTCAAACAACGATCTTCCTAGACTTAGGGAACTCAGCGATTTAGCTACCGAACTCTTGTCAGCTAGGGAAGATGGAAACCTTCCTGGCCTCGCCTACCTGGACACTGCTCGAGGGCTCCGCCCTTTTATAACCAAACTACCATCCTCACTTCAGGACAGATGGCTGTCTGTTGGTTCCGAATATAAGGAGCGGCACCAAGTTACGTTCCCTCCTTTTAAGGTATTTGTGAACTTTATTACACAACAACCTAGGATAAAAAATGATCCAAGCTTCAAAGTCAATCCACTGGTGGGTAGGTTCCCCTCACAAGAGAGCAAACAAAGGATGGTATCGGTGAATAAGACCGATGTGTCCCCCACAGTTTTCAACACCACGCGTCGGCAAAACAAGGATGGCAACGACCCCACCCAATATTGCCCATTACACAGAAAATTCCACTCACTGTTGAAATGCCGCGCCTTTCGAGAGAAACCCTTGAAAGAGCGTGAGACTTTTATAAGAAACAATGGCATCTGTTTCAAATGTTGCTCCTCCACAGCACACATAGCGAAATTCTGCAGAATGAATATTACATGCAATGAGTGTAACAGTGAAGAACACAACACTGCTCTCCATCCAGGACCACCACCTTGGCCCATCAGCATAAGATCCGCTGCAGAGAACGGCGGGAGGATACCCCCTATAGCTACTGGAGTGGTTTCGCAGTGCACACAAGTTTGCAGTGGTGACCTCTCAGAAAAGTCGTGCTCCAAGATATGCCTCGTCAATGTTTACCCTGCCGACCAACCAGACAAAACAGTAAGGATGTACGCCATCATCGATGAACAAAGCAACCGGTCTTTGGTACGCTCAGACTTTTTTGATACCTTTAAAAATGATGGGCCCAGTTTCCCTTATTCCCTTAAAACTTGTGCCGGAGTTATACAAATCATGGGAAGAAGAGCGTCAGGCTTCCAGGTGGAATCCTTAGACGGAAAAACAGCCTTCCACTTCCAAGTCTCGTCGAATGCGACAAAATACCCAACGACAGGTCCGGCATCCCAACTCCTGAGGCAGCCCTCCACCACCCACATCTGAGAAAAATAGCACACCTCATCCCCACCGTGGAGCCTAAAACTCCTATAATGCTCCTTCTGGGGCGTGACATTCTAAGGGTACAAAAGTGCGCCAACATATAAACGGCCCCCATGATGCCCCATATGCACAGAAACTGGACCTCGGATGGGTCATAGTCGGCAATGTCTGTTTAGGAAATTTCACCCACCCACCATAATAAACACATTGCATACACATATATCCGATGGGGACGCCCTACCCTTTTCGAACCGTGCCCGAACAAATTCGAAATTAAAGAGAGCTTCGGCATCAGCAAGAGACCATACTCCACCGAGATGGAAGACCACCTATTTCAACGGACCAAGGACGACGAAAGGGCGGCGCCTTCTGTTGAAGATATTGCCTTCCTGAACATTATGGAACTGGGGCTGAGAAAGACAAAGACAACAGTTGGGTCGCTCCTCTACCCTTTAGATCCCCCCCAACGTCGTCTCTCCTATAACAGGAAACTGGCAGAGAGTCGACTTTCTTCACCGAGACGTAGCCTCGATAAGAAACCTGCGATACAAAGACCCTTTACACGTAGGGGCGTTTTATCGACCCTCAACAGTCTGTATGACCCCTTGGGATTTGCTGCCCCCGTCACCATTCAAGGAAAGTTAATCTTGAGAGAGCTAACCCATGAAAACAGAGTGGGACTCACCTCTTCCTCAAGAAATGCACAAAATCTGGTCTTCATGGAGAGACTCCTTGGAAGCGCTAAACGAGGTCCGAATCCCTAGGGCCTTCACAAACATACCACTCTCAAAAGCAGTACATAAAGAGCTGCACATCTTTTCCGATGCATCGACCAAAGCCATCGCTGCAGTGGCCTATCTCAAGGTCACCGACGATAAAGGAAACAACCAAATTGGCTTCGTCACATGGAAAGCGAAACTTGCCCCACGACCCGAACATTCAGTTCCCAGACTGGAGCTCTGTGCCGCCCTCCTGGCAACCGAACTGAGTGAACTAAACACCTCCTCAGACCCGTTGCCAGGATTGTCCTTCTCTGTGACGAGAACTAGCACATTCCTTGACGTCCAAGACGTCAGGCGGGGAGTGTTCTGTTCTGTGTACAACAGACCTACTAGCACCCATCTCCCTTTATCGGCCCCTTTGCTTGGGGGCTTCTTTCTGACCCTACACCGGTTGAAGGTTCCCGGTGCTCAGCCTCTATCTAGTTTAGCTGCCCCCAGCACGGCCACATGGCATGCCCTCAGCTTGGCCGCATGCCATAGTTTTCATCCTTTAAATATCTCGTCATTCTTGGACATCTCCGGTAAGAACTATCGCCTTTCTTCCTTCCTATTATGGAATTATTTAATGCAAGCATTATTTTTTAGTATCATTTCCTTCCTTAAACGAACTTTGTTTACCTTCTCACCACGTGCGGAACCGCCATCTTTCCTCTCGGAACTTGACTGTTACTCAGCATAATTTGTATTCTTTTCTTCTATGAGTATTTCTTATGTTCAAATGCTTCTATTCTGTAAGCTTATCGTACCTACAACTACTTAAGGTCTTAGTAAATATTCACCTTCATTTTGTATTTCTGTATTTCTGAAGAAACGTGTTTTTATTTTCTTTCAGTTTTACCTTTGTCGACTGTCAATAAACCTGTGTCTAAAACATACCATGTCTCAGAGTCTTGATTGTCGATGAGAGTTTATGCTAACTGTCTAAGGGTTGTGTACATTTCAACGAAATACACGCATCCCGGAGACAGTACAGCAACCGTATAATTATTTACCCACTGCCTCACGCAGCAAGATGTGGCGCAAGGCCGGGTTTTAAAGTGGGGTATCCGAGCCCGTAGGCTCGGGCAAACATTCCCTATAGACCACGTAAAAACGGAGTCAGTTTCCCGAGACGAGACTCTGTTCTTCGGGCATAGCCTCGTCTGGGGGACACCCTCTGACACATGTCAGGTAAGTATGCAACCGTATAACCCTTCCAGGAGCAACAAACTCGCTTTCAAACATTTTCGAATATTATTATTTTGTGTCAGATCATTTAATCTGTTGTATGAACATTACCTCTTCATGGCAATTCGTTAAAACTACGGACTTTTAAAATTTCTGTTTTATTTTCCTGAAACGACCTACTGACATAATTTCAAGCGTGTAAATTCGTAAATAAATTCCTAATCTTGTTTTGTTAAAATTACCAGTATGTTTCCTTCATCATTAATTTTCTAGGTGTGGGTAAACCAAATGTTCATTTTGACCCCGACTCTCCACGCCACTATAAACTTACTAGTCACTTACTGTAAGGGTCCTCAACAGTGGCTCGATGACTGCTGTCCCACACTGAACCTCTGTGGGGGTTTTATAATTATTATTATTATTAAAAATAATAATAACAATAATAATAGTCTTTTTAGCTTTTTTTACCTATGTAAAATTGCATATAAACACACGGTATATATACATTCAAGTCAGAGATATGGTTGTCCACAAGAGGAACAGCCTAGGATGCAAGCTACGAATTGAGAATGATAAAATCAAACGAGTACGTAAATCTGTGAAGTGTTTTAATAAATGACAAAAACGTGAAACCGAAAACTGAAGATGTATTGGAATAGAGAAAGATGTCTTCCAAAAGCTAAGCAAAGAAACAGGGAAGTTTGATTTGATATAATGAAAATAGTAATAAACTGTCATGTAATACCAATCCGCCTCTATGGCAGTTCATGATGGACAATTTCTACACTGATGAAGAAATTTGAGGAAACAGAGACCTGGTTCTACAGAAGGATGCCGAGGATAACAGGGGCGGAACATATGAGCATCGATGAAGTTTTGAAAAAAAAAATGGAAACAAAAAGACGCTTATACTTAGAATTAGAAAGAGGGTTGAAATTACTCGGACACACAATGAGGAAAGAAGGCTTGGAGAATCTGGCATACATAAGGACATGTTGAAAGCAAAAGGAACAAAGTGAAAACCTACCTAACAAGCTTGCATAAATGGACAACAGAACAGCAATGGTGACGGTAAAAAGACAAACATTGCTAAAACTACAGTAGGAAGTTGTGGATAGCCATAATCGCCTGCGTACTAAAGGGACACGATCCATAAAAGAGAAGAATTGAGCGTGCTGAAATGAAGTGCATAAAATACAAGAGATTGCGCCGAATATGCATAATGACAGTTAATTAGGTATTGACGTCAACAAATTATCTGCGCAGACGGATCCGTATATGTCTTGTCTTACAAGACGCACACACGAATTCATACAATTTAAAGAATTCTAACCGATTACAAGTATTCCTGCCTGAAACAAAAAGTCGTCAACGAGAGAAAAAGTGCTGGCGACAACACATTCTTCAAATGAATTTTGATACCCAGGCAACATTTTCGTATATAAAATCCATCGCTAAGGACGCTGGAAAAAATATTCTGTTCCATCTACCGCTACAGAAATTATTGAACTCCTGCTATACTCTATTAATACAAGAATCAAGTCAGGACTAAATGGAGCATTGCTGTTACCATTGGGCTGGAGCTTCTCAATCCTTACTTTCGATCGAGTTCAAAAGCATGTACACGGCGTTATGTGTTATGAATTGTTTTCCACACTAAAACCACTTTCTCTACAGACGAAACGTTGCTAACCTCTCACTATTTCATTTTCATGGCAGACGTTCGAGCGAATTAAATACCATTGTTCCACCAGTCCAGACATTAAGAGCTAAGTCCCGCCACGTCACGCATACACAGTTAACTCATCCATATTTCTTTCATATTCGATTCGTAAGGAATAAATTCAATTTAGTTCCTTCCTAAGACCTATTAAAATGGGAAGCAGATTCCTGAAGAGATGCTTCCTTGATTACTAAAATCTTAACCTCTTCCAGGCGAAGGTCAACCGTTATCTATCCTACATATTTTCATAATATGCAATCATTTGCCATATACGCCAGCTACAAAAAATCAAAACCTTTCTTTTTTCTTCTAATTTCAGCTTCCAGCAACTGCCAGTGATTTTCGTCTGCAAAAGCCAAGTAACTTCTTGCTGACAAGCCTGATTTCTTAAATCGTCACAAATCGGCTCTGATTTAAATCAGAAATTTGATATTATGGGATTGTAACTTGCTTTCCTCATTGATTAAAAAGTCGCCAAACACGTCTCCTTAAACCAACGCCCGTCTGCAAAAACTATTTAGGCGTATTTTGAGCCCATAAGACTTGAGCCTTTTTTTTAAACAAATTTTTGTAAACCAAATTTTATACATATTTTTTTTATAAACCGTCAGGCTTCATTTTGGCGGTTCTTTTTCAACATCAACTTATATATACAAACACTACTACATACATACATACATACATACATACATACACACACACACACACACACACACACACACACACACACACACACACACAAACATATATATATATATATATATAGATAGATAGATAGATAGATATTGTGTATGTGAGACATAATACATATTGTATTAAAAATACCCCACTTTCCTAATAAACCGCCGCTAGAGGACGTTCCTTAGCCTTTGAATAGGAAGTAACATTGTCATTCTCTTTTTTTCCTATTTCACTCAGGGACTGTATGATGTAAGTCGAACGAGGAAAACGCTTTCCCCACTGGGGAATGCGTACACACACGTATGCATCTTTCGCTTCATTTTCTGTAGATTTTCTACACACATTTTACATACACGAACAATTCACTAGTTTCATCTCATTGTTTTGTTACACGAAATAATTTCCTATTGTCTATGTATAACTTTGTTAAATTGTCGTTTGTTTTATATATATATATATATATATATATATATATATATATATATATATTTTTTTGCTATTTTGTCATTTTATTACCCAGACTCGCATACAGAAGAGTCCGCCATTTTTGTTGTGGGATAAATACATCAGGAGACACATGTTTTCGACCTAAACACTCGACCAGAATACACCTGCAACAATATAATCTATCTCTCATATATACATAAGCTTACACATTAAATTTTATACAACCCATTTTTACTGTCTTCATTAAACTAGATTTTTATTTAACACATATGTATTAGTAGCTTTCTTTCTTAATAAATATTTTTAAAACACTCCACTTAAAAGAAAGTGTAAGAATCAAACCTATTCTTTTTTTACTATTTTATAAATTTACGCTTTAATCATTTTTATATAATTCTTCATTTCTTTTTTATTATATAAATTTGTATATTCTACTTTCCACGTCGATATCCGTTATCCTACCCGCTCATACATTTATAATATTTACTTGTCCATTTTCACAGTCTATTTTCCGTGGAACAGAAATATTGTTAAATTGTTGTTTAATAAAGTGTGGTGGTCATGCGTGTTTTTGATTTCTGTAATGAAGAGAGATTGACGTTAATTTATGGGAGTGAATTGGCCATATATTAATATAAGTATGGAAAAAAATCCTATGTATATACAATGAATAGTTTCGTAGAAAAGATACGCTCAGCAATAATGAGGCACCGGGACTCTTGTGAATAGAGCCCCGCATTTAAGGAAGCTGAGTATTAAGTCACGTATGCTTTAACGAATTGGGTTGACATGTTCTGAAGAGAAAGAAACACAAAGATGGTATTTACAGACACTGCTACGGAAGACACCAATCAAAATTATAACAGATGATTCCAACTCTGCGGAAGCACCTCCCTCATTGCACTAATGTTCACAAAGTCAAAATTGGGTTTACATGCAAATCAGAAGGAACAAATCATGCGAAAATCAATTTTCATAGGATATAAGACGAGTAGTACCTATTTGATAGATATTCCAGAAAATAAGAATAGACAATTTTCGGTCTCATCACTCGTATTTTTGTCCTTCTTGTGTTGATGTCAGAACGCTATAACCACTTGACTGTATCCCTTTTGCGTGTGAATACAATTCTTGCTTTTGTGAACTTTCTGCTTTATTACTGTTACTTTGCCTAGTTTTGACTTATATATATATATATATATATATATATATATATATATATATATATATATATATATATATATATATATATAGTTACCCACAAGTTTCAATAAATCTGAGAGCGATGCTGCCTGGCGTTCTATGCTCCTGGTATGGCTAACCTTGGCGGCAGTGTCAAAGACGAGGATCCAGACCAAGTGCGACCAATCACAAAGACCCCAACGGTAGAACAAGCTGATGATGATTACAACAGATCTCAATGGTTCAGCCAGCGGATAAAGAGGACTACATAAGACGGACATGCTACAGAAAGCCCCACTCGAAATTATAACAATGAAGTCCGTTGCAGTTCATAACTAGATTTTGCCTGTCTCATTCCATATGTACCACAGAGGAAGTTCATGAAATCAAGTGTGTGGGTCACTTCCTGCTAAGTTGAGGTCCACCTTAAACAAATTCATGTCATCTACACTTTCTTCTGATTTTCTTTCATCTCCAAC